AATTTTATAAAGGACTTTTTCTGAAATAAAAAAAAAAACCCTGTCACATTAACTACCACTCGTAGACATGTAATTCGTAAAGAATTTTTTTCATTATTCTACAACTTTTTATTTATTTTAGAAACTTTTAATTTTGAATGTTTTACATTCACAAATCATGGTTATTTTCTATTTTAAACATTTACATTCTGCTGTATATAAGTTGACAAGTGGGTCACTATTGTAAGTATGGTAAACTTGAATTTAATGATACATCATTGTTTACGAAAAAGCGAGCTGAAACTCTCAGTCTATGTTACCAAGCATATTTAATCATATATTGTTTTTTTACATAGCTATTTAAGTCATTTATTTTATTCTTAATATTATAGGTAGTAGGTATTGATAAAATTTCTTACTAAAATATTGCATCTATTATTTATTTTTTTTTTTTATTAGCATTTAATTATTATGATAATATATATTTATATTATATTTTATCAAACTTAAAAAACTCAAAATTTTATAACATATTTTTGTAAATACTATAAAACAAAATTATAACCCAGAAAATAAATTCTTATCGAAATTTAAAGAAAAAAACTAAAAAAAATTGAAATTGATAATTTTAATATTTGGTGATTATTTTCAGTATCAGCTACTGTTATTTTTTTAAATACAATAAATTATCGAAAATTATTTGAGGAAAAATAGTTGATTTATAAATGAATATTGAATGTCGTAAACATTTGAACTTCATTAATTTGAAATGCTCGCATTAAAGATTAATTTAGCTCCAGGTAGAAATTTTTTTACATAAAGGTTTAAAAATTAGTAAAAAACACTATATTAAATATTAAGTATAAAAACAATTTTATGAATTTCTAAATATAAAATAATTTACTAATTTTCGCGATTTTCGCGATTTTTATGAATTTTATCAAAATTCTAACTTAATAGATTTCCAAGAAAATATTGTGAGTATAGCTTTTCTATATTTTTTTAACTGAGAAATTAATAACTTATGAGGAGTTTTATAATACATTTTTGGGCATTTCTGAACAGCAAATAATTTTTAATCAACATTTATAAAAAAAAAAAACAACAAAAACAAATTTAAAATTTCTTATGTATGTATATAAATTATTATAAATATAAATTAATAGTATATAAAAATTTGGTGAAAAGTTCAAGTATCTACAGTCATTCGTTTTTGAGTTAGGTATCTATAGAAAAAACAAAATTTCGACAAAAATTAGAATTGCATTAGGATTCCCGTAATCCCTTAATTTTTGTTTGTTTTTCAGAATTATAAAAATATTAACCTCTTTTAAGTTTAAACTGGATTCAATTTTATATCTAAAACCACCCTCATTTTCGGAAATCAAAGCATTTTTCCAACAACTTATCGTGTATTCATCCACAAAAAATAACATGTCATTATAAAATCATTACATTTAAAGCTGCACTCAGAATCTAAAAAAAAAAAAACCAACTTAATACAGTTATTTATAGTTTTGAATAAGTATTTTATTCAATTATTCTATCAATAAGTTTTCATACACTCAGCGCAAAATTTGTTCTCCCTCTCTGACCTTGGTACAATAGAGAAAATTTTGCTTTTAGGCAAACCAACCATCATATGTTAGCTTTAAATTTTAATATTAAAATGAATTGTGTTATTATTAAGCTAAAAGTTAAGAACTGTATCTTCTATATGTGTTTGTTAATTTTTTATGTTGGTTTTTTTTATGATGTTTCAATTTTTTGCCGTGTTATTATTATATAATATATGAGCTTTTCTAAACTTTAATACTTCTTATAATCATAACTTACATAATGTTGACAGTAGAATACGGACAAAAAAACATAAAAGCTAAAAAAAAAATAGTACACTGATATTATTTTAAGACCGACTATTCGAATACAAGATTTTTGTAATTAAACAAATATAGGAAGTTTAACATATTTAGATATATTATATATACACAATAATCCCGTTTCTATGTGCGCTTAAGCGAATTTTATATTACTTTATAAAAATTAAACTAACAATAAATGGTTTTTATGAGAAATTATATTAATTTCATCTCAAATTTTTTTCTAAATTGTACCTATAATTTTTATTATTCCCGAAATTCGAATAGTAATCACATAACTCATTAGCTTATGTATAAGAAAAATTGTACTGAGTACCAAAAATTAGAGTTTCTAAGTTTCTAGCTGAATCTCACCAGGAAATCTGTAATTAACATGTGAACTATTCAATTATGAACCTAAAAACATATTATTAATCTCATCAATTTAGTTGATATAAAAAATAAATAAAAAGATATTTGTTTTGTTTTCACTTTATTTTTTTTTTGACAATAGTACAAATTTTATGAATAATATAATTATTTATACACGGTTCTTAATAGTATCAAACTAATAAAAAAAAATTATTTTATTTAAAAGTACATTTTGTTTATAATTTATTACAGTATAAGTACTTTGAAATAGAATAGCTTTTAAGTTATAGTATATTTTATTATCATTGATTAAATTTCTTTAAATTCACATTCAATTTACGTAATACATATAAATTTAAATCATATTTATATAACAATGTATAACTTTATCATGCATCAGACAACATAATATTATGGTAGGTACTAAATCATTTCTATGTAGGCAAATAAGTGTTCAAATCTGGTCATTTAAGTTATATTATGGTAATTGTATGGAAGGTATAATATAAAAAGAAAAATTCGATAAAATTTCCGTTTTTAATTGTATGTAATGAAATAATATTTTATTATATACTGGGCAGTTACATGAATATATTACATTTCGACTGAATCTCAAAATGTTAACATTTCAGACCGTTAAAATTGTTCACGGCAGTTGTTAGGAGTTACAGGGCATATCTAAGATAATGATAAGGTTTTTAAATTTATATTGTATTATTGAAAATAACTTTGGTACACATTGCCCTCCTCTTATTAAAGCTGCTTTGTACAAGATTTAAATTATAAAAAAAAAATTACTTTGTCATCTTGGACAATTTTTCTTGTACCTAATATAATAAGTGTTTGTCGACCCAGTTTTTGGTCCCTGCTTTTAGGAACATATATATGTACAGGCCTAAAACAAAAAGAAATTACCCCATATTGGTTTACCCCCAAAACTTTCACTTTTATACATGAGATCATTCCTTCAAGTGTATTTATATTGTTCCTACTAAAAAAAATTCATCGGTAACAAGGTTAGACGGCAACCGATAATAGAAAACACTACCATGAAAACTTCAACCTGAATATCTTATACGTATATTTACAGATGGTAATTTATATTATACATACCTATTATCTACGCTAAAAAATATGTTTCATTAAAAATCTGAAAACTTGATCGTAAAAATTGACTTTTGTCGATCGTTAAACTTATATAATATATATATACAGCATAGAGTGATTCACTAAGTATGCTTACTCCCATTTTTCCTTAAATTATTAATTTATTAATAACTAAAAATTATTAACCAATTAATCAAATTATTATTTTGAAGTATACTTAAGGACAATATTTTCAACTAATTAGATTTTTTATAAGTAGATATCGATTAAGCAGTGTCCTGCAGTGGAATACATTTTATTTTGAAACAAATGCCTAATACATTTTTCACTGCAGATTATGAATGATTTTATTGAAAATGTTAATGTATCTAAATTAAAATTTGGATGAGTAATTTCTGAATTAGAGTAAAATGTATATAAATACTATGGAGATAATAGTCCTTAAAAATAGTTTTGCAAGTATACAAAAATTTGTTATACTATGTTTAGTATTTATTTTTACAGATTATAAAATTTTGAAAAATTTATATTAATTACAAAAATATTAAAATCATTATTGCAAACCAAACCTATTATTGCATGAATCTATTATCCTTAGTAAATAATACACAAAGTTAAATAACTTAAAAATAACTCGTTAAAACTTTGATTTAGATACAAAATATTTTAAGAAACGTGGTTTTTAAGTATAATTCCAAAAATTTTAACTTGAAAAAAAATGGGTATAAACTTGCTTTGTGAATCATCTTATACATGAATATGAGTATAAATAATTGCAAGATGTTAGATTTTTTTTTCCGAAAACTTTTGAATTGTTCATTTAACTAGATATATTTAGGATATTTCATTAGAGTTCAGTACAATGAATAAAAAATTATAAGATTCACAAAAATATACACAAATTAATCATTGAATGGTTTTGTTCGCAAACATTATTAATTTTTTTACAGGTAAAATGTTCTTATAAAATTTAGCATTGAAAATATTAAGGCCGTGTTAACCTATACCGATTGTTATTTTCTCCCTGTACATTTTTCCCAAAAACTATTGAACATTTTGCACAATTTTGTCAAAATCAAAATAAAAGATATATTTTAAATTTAAATTTATGATCAATAAACGTGGTTTTTAAAAGAAACATGTTTTACTTCCTTCTTTCCGTTTAAAAGTTAATATACTTACAAACTAATATCATTTACATTATACTTATGCCAGTTGGCTATTTGACATTTTGTTACATATATTGGAGTTAGCGATATTATAACCAGTTTCTTATGAAGTAAAAACAAGTATTTTATTGTATGTTTATAAATTATAATACTTAATATTAATACTATTTAATTTTTCCCTGCTGTTAGTGATGTTACTATGAAAAGAGTACTATTATCATGGTTATTATTTATTTGGTTGTTTAATAATAAATGTCCACTACGTTAAATGTACAGATTCTAGATTCTGTATTAAAATATTTTAACATTGGTAAATGACATTTATCATATTTTAATGTAATTTAATACTGAAGTGAATGAATTTTTAACATAAAATGAAAAAAAAAATTAATTTTTCAGTCAAGATGTTAATATTACTGTTTAAAAAAATCAAAAAAACAAAATCTCATCCATTCTTTGACAGTACATTAATAATAAATTTCACTAAATAATTAATATTCAAACATACAACTAACATATATTTACTATGATGTTTAATGATAATGATGATATCGAACATGTTTTCAAAGTATATTTTAACTAAAATTCCGCACACGTCTCTTCGCAGACGAGTGGTCTTCTGAATAACCCCTATGATTTCCCTATTCGATCTTTATTATTCGTGTGTATTATTATTATTATTATTATCGTTAATACTATAAATAATATTTTTACTATTACTAGTATTTTAATATGGATATGGGCCTGCGAAAAGCGATACAAACAAGATCGCGCGCGTTTACAGTCAGTGGCGTATTTAGATATTTTAACACGAGTGTATGTACTTCTGATGATGATATCGTATTGAAACGTTATTTTAGGTAATACATTTATTTTTAATTGATGTTTAATTATATGGAATGAGGTACTCAAATAGATGATTATTTCTTACATCGTTAATACCGGGAAAATACAGAGATAATTAAAAAGGCTTCGGAGCCAGATTTGTCTGCTTCGTTGGCGCCTCCTCACATCTTACGCCACTGATTTTCACATACATTTCATCTATAAATATTATATTATATAATATGTATATAAACGCCCAATATTAAACGCACGTTTGCCTACATAGGTTTATTAAATTTATAAAATACACACTTGTGCCGGGATAACCATGTGGATCCCGCGAACAGTCTTAAAATCATTATATTATTATTTTTTTTTTTCTATAAGTTTTTGTATTTTATTATTCTCGCAGCCCTCTTGCTCTCGTACTTCTTTCTGTTGCACAACCTACAGCTACCGTAAAATACACTAGTGACACGTACTCTGATAGTTTTTCAGCACATTTAGTTTGAGATTACCTCGTTAAAATAATGCGATAAGTTTAATATACGCATACGGTAAGTGAGACAAATCCACAACGTAACCTCACGCGGGCAAAATAGATTAAACACGCTTTAATTTTCAAGCTACTTTTTAAGTGTTATATATACGTACAATTAAACACGTATAGTTTATTTTTTCCATATTCAAAATGTTACCAAAATTATTGAAACGAAAATTATAGACGACTCAATCAGATATACTTGATCAAAACTCTTAAATTGAGATGGCAATGTATGTGATAATGTTCACCGTGGACAATTCCTCTAGTAAACTTTAGAAATTAATGAATTATTGTTTTCTTTGGCATTCATCATCGTCAACTGTTGAACTTTGAAAATAATATGTTTTTTCGCGTTTCTGAACAATTTCAAAAATTCAATTATTAAATAGAGTATTTTGCACATTAGGTCTGAATATAATGTGTATCGATCATTTTCGAAAATATTAATACGAGAACGTTTTTAACGTAAATAAATACTAAATCGTATTGTTCTTCCAGTGTCTGTAGCTATTATTCTGAACGGTACAATCAACGTGCTCAATCGTACGATAGTAGCCTGGCGGGGGCGGGAGTGAAAAAAAGGGTCACGTCACGAGAAAAAACCCGAAAACAATAGTGTATACATGTATAATATAAACGTAATATGCGGTAACCGAGGCCGGTCGGACATCACATCACGTGCGGAAGTGCGGCGGCTGTCTGCGAGTGTTCCACTTGCACTTGAGTATCCGCACGTAGGTCATGCGGAAAGTGGCGTTGCACAGGGCGTAGCACACCGGGTTGATGGTGCTGTTGATGTAGCACAGGTAATAGAAAAAGTCCCACATTCCCTTCGTCACCCACTCCTTGTTGCTGTCGGCCTCGTCGCCGCCGCCCCCGTCGTCGCCCCCGGTGGCCGCCGTGAACGGTTTCAGCAGCACCAGTATGTTGTACGGCGTCCACGTGATGATGAACGTCAGCAGTATGGCCGACAGCGTTTTGGCCGCCTTCCGCTCGCTCTTCTTCTCCTGGAACTTCTTCTTCTTTTTCTCCTTGGCCTGGAACGCGACCCCCTGCGCCCGGGTCAACTGCTTCGGTTGCACGATCTTCGCCGCGTTCAGCGGCAGCCGCGTGTCCTGCGACGACGGCCGGCGCGATATCGCACCGCCCGCCGCGCCGTGCCGCCGCGTCTCCTCGTAACACCCGTGATACTGTTTCACTGTCGGCGCGTCTTGCAGGTCGCTGTCGCCCGGCAACTTGATCACGATCGTGTACACCTGCACATATTATTATCGAACGTGGCACGAAAACACCACGCGTTCATATTATTATGATGATAATTATTACTTTCGATGTTGTCGTTATTTTAGTAGTAGGCATAGTTATTATTGTCGTGTTTTGTAGAAACGATTAGTTTTGAGGTTATTAAAGAATCATTACATTTATTTTGGCATTTTAAATTAGTATTTATTGCGCATCGATACATGTAGGGCTATTGAATAGTATCAATATCTATAAGACAAAGGTATTGGAAAGAAAAATTAGATTCAAGATATCTGCTGCAAATATCACTTTTAAAGTTATAAGACCTTATGCCATAAAGCTTATATACATTTTTAAAAGAGGAAATCGTTTTTATAGATATATTGTCATTAGAAGTTCGTCTCATTCGAAAAAGCGACTTTTTAGCTATGTTCTCTGAAAATATTATATACCTATTTGACATTTATTGATTTATACCCATTTTAATTTCTATGTGACCATGTTAGTTTATAAATTTACTTCTCAGATTAGATTATAAATTGCGAATATAGCTGGTTAAATATTACGAAATAAATAATAAAAGAAAAATCGAATAGGAAAACTAATGATATTATGTTATATTACATGACCTTCCATATATTACATCGTACAATTTTGACAATGTTAATATTTTAAAACTTTAAATTTTCATAAACTCATAAAAACATCTGTTTGTTATCCAATGTGAAATTCAACAAAAATATTTTTCATAATATTGTATACCCTTTTTATTAATGCTATTAGATAAAATAATGTTATATAATATATATATATTATAAATTATTATAGATTGTTGGTGCACGTATTGGATATTAAAATACAACCTATAATAAACTCATTGATAAGTATAATATGGATTTGAATTTAAGAGGCAATTTTATCCTGAATACTAACGTACTGTTTTATGCATAAAAAGTAGGTTTCAAGAAATAATGTAAATTCAAAATTTTCAATTTTTACGTTGTAATATTAACTGTATTTATATATTTATTCTAAAATGTAATTTTGTTTATTTTCAATGTATCTATAGACATTTTATATTATTTTCTTTTTCAGAATTTTCAGGAAATATACAAACACGAGATAAAATGTATATTATGTAAAACAAAACAATACACGTTTTCATAGAAAAAATGATACACTTGCTAATAAATTTGTGTAAGTAAAAGTATCTACGAAATAATATTATAACACATCAATGTTATTTGCTACTGAATTATAATTATTTTTTAAAAGGTTTTAAGCAATATTTTTTTTTTTTAGCACTTTTTTTATTAATTTTATTATTCTTATGAATTATTTTTAAAATAAATACTAATAGCATATTTCTTTTTAAATTTAAACTTAACAGAAATATTGAAATTACATTTAAATTGAATATAAATAAAGCAAATTATTTGGCTTGTCTATATTACATTGGATATTATATTGATTTTATCTTTATTATAAATACCAATACATCTATTACATTATAAGAAAAAAATAGGTAAAGCAGCTTTTTGGAACCAACAACCTTGTTAATACCTAAATCTATTTTATTTTAGTATTTTTTTAAACAATTTATGAAAAATTTACTAACAATAAACAATTTAAAAATCCGATTTTATTGTTTTTTATATTATTTTACGGGTCTTTTTGCTTAATTATTTTTTTTTAGATTTTTGGTGCTTTAAAATCTGTACTCTATTTGTGATAAATTATCGCGTACTTACCGAATCGTTGGACAAAGACCGGTGGGTCAGTCGGTTGTTATTGTTGACCGCGTGGTAGGATTTTATAGGCGTCGGTGTTGTGGGCTGCTGCTGATGTATGACGTTTAACGACGTTGACCTGGACACAGTAGTACCGTAGCTTATGCCCCCCGGCACGTCGCTAGGCGTCTGGTCGTCTTCCTCGTCGTACTCGTCGTCGCGGCCTGAGTGCCACCAGTCCACGCACCAATCGCGCAGCCATGACCACGTCAGCAGGCGCCTCGCTTTCTAAAACACCACCCGATCGCCATCATGGTTGGTTGGCGTATAATTTACGTTATTTACGTTTATAGAGTATAATAGCCATAGATAGGATTTGGAGAAGTATTAGGAGTGTATGAAAAATAATCGGATGGCATTACCACTCAAGCCGTTGTCAGAAAAAAATTAAAAATAGTATTTAAATTTGATTGATATACATTATTAATACATTGTTACTTTTGAAGCTTAAGTGAGTAATGTAAAAATACGTATTATACGGTTTTAATCCTTATCTACTTAAAACCATATAATATACATATATATATAATAAATTACGGTTGGTATATTAATAAATATTATAGAGGAAACAGAGACAAAAAAAAATTAAGAATTTATTCTTGAAAAACAATTTAGAACTCATTATATTTTATTATTTAAAACTAAGTGTTGTACCACACAAACGTCACTGTTGGCTAGACCTCATATTCTCAACAGCGGAGACGCTTTTTTTTTTTAATCACTCTCATATTTTCTATACACTTGTTTATTTCTTTCCTCGACACAATTACTTTCTGTCGTAAATTGTTTACTTAATATTTTATAAAATATAAATTGAATGAATTGAAATTCAAATACAGCATTATAAAATCACGCTGTCATCTCATTTCAAAAAAATAGCCACATAAATCCGATCATAAGATCTCTCACTCATTGCTTATAGTACTGATAAAAGCCGCGTTATTGCTCTTATTGGTCGTTTTGTATAATTTTTTTTTCAAACAATATGATACAATTTCCAATTACGAGTTTACTATTTTTGAAAAACATTAAATAAAACACAAATTTATTTATGTTTTCTGACATTACAGAAATCCTTTTGCCGAGCAAACGGTTATTATCACGGTCCCTGTGGGAATTCGTTAGGTTTCCGTTCCCGGACTAAGCCACCGGGTCGGTCCAGGAGGAATGCTCGCGGTCAATACGCGCGCTCTAGGGTCAGACTATAATATGCTCTGTATAGACTCGCCGTCTCGGGAATTGCTTGCATTCAACGACTAACAAAACGAATTATTTCGGGCTGCTCCCTGGAACGTCTAATCGGAAGTAAAAATTTCCACTTGACAGTGGATCTTAGTAACGCTAGCTAATTTGACGGTACGTATTTTTATGGTCACTTATTTGTGCTTTCGAGGATATTTTTTAGTAAAATTTTATTTTTATTTAATAATATAAAATAACATTATGTCATTACTCATTACTTTTATACTTTTATCTTATGATTATATGAAATGCAATCCTATATCTTGGTATTTTCCAGCATTTTCATTAAAGACATTTTACACGAAATTTCCTTAAAAATATTAAAAAATGTACTAAAAGAAAATATTAATTTATTAATTACTATGAGTTTTTTAACTTTTCATCATAAAATATTAAAATATTAAATATAATACCCATAAACGCGTGTGATATTACTTCTCTACAACAGAAAATATATTGTCTCATTTTATATTGATATTTAATTTGTCAAATAAGTTTATAAATACCAATGAACACTGAGAGTACGCTTTGCGCAACGAACTGGTCTCATACAATTCTTGCCGATCCAACGAATTTACTTGATTCGACTCCGATCGTATGCGACCCCACGATTCCTCGTGTTGATGATCGCTAAAACGTATAAAACATAAAGTATATGTATATTAGTACCGAAGAAAAACGATATTTATGTTGTTTTCTGCGTTCTCACTTGTGTGGTTTGTTCATGGCTTGCAAATTAGGCAAGTCTTTTTGTCTCTTTTTTGTTTCTCTGTATATACGGAAATACAGAAAACACATCACCGTTACCGGTACATAAAAGGCAGCAATGGCCGTACCGAAAGTAATGTATTGATTGGTCAGTATGAACTGTATATAACACTGAATTTCGGGCACGGTCCGACGACCTTCTATGATCGGCCACAGATAAATCCACGGTGGCCATAAGCCGAGCGAAATGATCCATGCAGCGGCTGAAAATAAAAATCATATTAAGTGTAATTATTACTGCAAGTTTGATCTACATTGTATGAGTCGTTTACTTCAAGCGTTACGGTGAATGCATTTTAAATATATAATATCATTATCGTGGTTTATTATTATGAGGATCTATGGTTTTCAACACTAACGAGAAACCGATTTAACAGTTTGTTAAAATCATAGGTTAAAATAATAAAATCGCTAAATAAAATCTCAAAAAAACCTCTTAATTAAAAGTGTTTATTACAAACAACTCCATACAATTTATTTTTAAAATAAATATATTTATATAAATTATAGGTACTTAAACTGAATTATAATAATTATTCGTAAATTATTAAAATATTAATACTGCAACAGTCATTAGACAGACAAACAACAAAAATACATAAAACAAAAAGTTTTGTAATATTTTTCACATCGAGTATAATTTAAAATGCGCAAAAACAGCTGCATCAATTCACTGCTATCGAATAAAAATAACTATATGTTAATAATGTGTTTTTAACTTAAGTAGGCTAATTTTTATTTTTATTTTTACTCTGTTATTCAGAATACTTATTCTTATGAAAGTTTGCAAATCAAATAGTTTTAAATATTTTAATGCATATATTTCTACGATTTTATTGTGTTATGGTTTGTGTGAATATTTGAAATTGTTTAGTGCTTTTTCCCTGCAACCGTGCTAATAATACGTAATAATGTATCGTATAATATATTACGTTTAGCTGTTCGCTACTATATCTATCAAACGCTGTATATTAATCAATACATACTTAATAACGACATCCCCATCATAGTTTATAATCCGACTAGCTACATAATAATATATATATATATATATATATTATATTTATTATCTACTATCCTGTGGAAAATATTGTCATACAACAGTCTTCCGTTACTCGGCATTATCGAATCATCTGATAGTGTCTGTATAAGTACCTATGTCATATGTGTATAATACGCGAATTCGACAACACTTGTTGGAAAAGATTAGTGGCAACGTTTATAGTAAGTAGTAACCTACACAATACCATTTACAATTTACATTATTCATAAGGGACCTATAATATTATGATCGTATTAAATTACATAATATATGTTTTAAATATTTACTAGTTTTACACACTTGGTGATCTATCTATCAATGTATGTACAATATTATAAACTATTTACGATAAAATACATTTTAATATACTACATTTATCAAAAATTTCAATGATAAATTACTAAAAAAAAGTTTTTAAATACGTGAAAGTTGTAAGTATATAAGACAGATAGCAATTTATCATTTTAAAACAAAAGAATAAGGTGGACGAAAACATCAATAAAACCACAAATAGAATGATTATTGTTTATTTTTACATGGAAATACATGTATCGATAAAAAAAAAAACCATGTGTTATTAAGTTCACTTATCTATTTTATTTTAATCATTATTATGAAACTAAAATATAATGTTGCTTATAGCTTAAAAAAAAACTCGGCAATGTTGCTTTGCTCTATGTTAAGAAGATTTTGAAGTACATTTCAATTTTATATAACTTTCTACTGCAAGATTTGTGTGCTAACTTTATCAGTCAAATACTCAAGAGATTAGTTGTGGTTCTGTTTAATATTTAAGTCCTTAAATGTTATTGGGGTGGTCCGTTGGTGCTCTAAGAAGTTTTATGCAGAAAGTTATCTTGTTGCCTTATATAATACATTTGCTCGTTTTATGTTAGAATATGAAACGATTATTTGGTCTCCTTACACTAACATTCGAAAGATAAATCAGGACTAGAATAAATTTCTAAGCTTTGTAGATTTTCTCCAAGAATTTTACACCTCCTTGTAATTTTTTTTTTCAAGGCCTAAGTCTGGACTCTATAAGAAAAGTGCAATATTTTTGGTACATTTTTTAACAGAAGCTGCTAAGTGCTAAGTGACCATTTTAATCCATCACGCAAACTATCGTATTTGCCATTCAGATACGAATACCTAATATAATACAACTAAATTACTTGACATATTTTATTTGCCGTTAATCAAATCAACTTTGAGATGAATGCTTCTTTTTAATTAGAATGATATGCAATAGTAGAGTTTCTAATCAATAGTATTTAGATCATTATTATATTTATATTTTATATAAATGAAATATTTTTCGTTGGTAAGCGCATAATTTAAAACAACAGATAACCAATTGTACCAACTTTTTTTTTAATATTTTTAAATAAAAATTAAAAAAGTTGTCCAAAAATTGAAAAATTTGAGAAAAACTGAAAAAAAATTTTCTTTAGGAAAAACAACAATTGCCATGTCAGTTAATAATAATTGTTTTCTATTAAGTTTTATTCATTTTTTTCTCTGTTAATAATCTTTATTATTTTTTTATCTTTAATATAATTAAAGGTGTATAAATGATAACAAAAAACTATTGAACGTTTATAATTCAAAATAAAAATAGCAATTGTTTATATTATTTATTTTCCATCTTATATTAATATTAATATTGTATTAAAATTATAAATGTACAAATGACTTAATGTTTTAATTTTATTATTGATGCAAATATAGTAATTATATTATACGCAATTGTATTTTTTTTCAAAGACCATAATTTTTGCATATGTATTAAAAACTTTTACAGCAATATTTATCGTTAAACTGCGATGCAGTATATTTTATTGAAAGTCAAACTAATATTTGTTATTTTGCTTTGAAAATTCAAAAACTTTTTATTCAATAACTTACAAAAGTCATAATTAATAATATAAAAATTATTTATACCTAGATAGAAGTAGACCGTATTAGAACCAGAGATGGTTGGAAATGTGGGTAGCAAATCCTATATTTAGCTTATATAATATTTAGTTTTTACATTACAGATGGTATATATTATGTATGTTGAATGTAGTGAGCAAAATCGTTGTGTGTCTTTCTCACTATATGCACATGCGTACTTACTATATTATAATTTACAAACACATAACTACATAAGTATAGTGATATTTTAATTAGTTTTTTATTGCTATATATAACCATAAAAATATAATATTCTAGAGGACATATAAATCATTTTACATATTATTTCTTTATGAGTTTGGGGTGGTTTTATACCCTCTCTTCCCCGCCAGTACACCACTGCAGTGTAATGCATTGTAATAATGTAATATAATCACTTATTCAACGTCCTTCAATAAGTACTTAAAGTGCCGAACCCAGGACGAATAATATAGCTCGGCCGTTTAAAGTTTATACGGCTACCGTCATAGTATCATATTATGAACGCGTTAGTACAAAAAAATTGTAAAAAATAACGATTATTTTGTAGGCGTGCACTTACATATGAACAGCAACGCTTTGCCTTTAGTCCTCTTGGCCCTGTATGTCAGCGGCCTGGTGACGGACAGGTACCTGTCGAAGCTGATCAGCAGCAAGTTGAGCACGGAAGCGTTGCTGGCCAAGTAGTCGAGCGCCAGCCAGCCGTCGCACACGTGCCGGCCAAACGGCCAGTAACCGAGTATTGTGTACACGGTGAACAGCGGCATGGATATGAGTCCGATGAAGAAGTCGGCCATCGCCAGGCTAAACAGGAAGTAGTTGCTGATGTTCTGCAGCTGCTTGTCGATCTTGAACGACACCATGACCATTATATTGCCGGACACTGTGACGAAGCTGAGCATGCCGGACACAAGCGCGATGAACACCGTCTGAGACAGCGTAAACCTGGGCTGCGGCGGTCCGTCGTCGGGCACCCCCGCGACGGTGCCGTTCGAAACCGCGGCCGCGGCTGCCGACGCCACCGTCGTCCACGCATGGGCTGCTCCCGCCGCCTGGATTGACGACGATGACGTCGACGCGGTGTAAAATGCAGACAACGCCGCCCGAGCCGCGAGCGCGTTCATTACGCGGCCATTCTCGTCTCCATGGTGTCTCCACAGCGGGCTAGGCGCTAACTGCAAAGGCCATTACCGTCCACACCGCTGCCGCCATTTCCACCACTTCCGTCGCCACTATCGACGCAGCAACCGCTGCTGCCGTCGTCGTCGCAGCAGTAGTCGTATTCACCACCAACGCCGCCGTCAACTCTACCTCCGACGCCGCCGCCGCCGCCACCGCCTCCTCCACCGCCACCGCTACGTGTTTTCGTTTCTGCCCCTAAAAACAGATCACAACATTGAATTACTTATCGTCGATTCAAATTTTATATTACAGTTCAATGCTATACGTCTATATGGCATATCTATATAGATATACCCATACAACTAACTTTTCAAGTAGGTTACCTACTCTCAATATCACATAAATCTCTAAGTATGTTGTACGAGTTCATAGTGATCGAATTGTAGGGAAGAGTGCGCAGAGAGGGACTCCCCTCCTATTTTATTTTTATTTTGCAATTCTAACAATTTTTTTTTTTTATTAAAACGAGAGGACAATAAAAACTACACCCGAAATAATTTTTCTTAAAATTTAGATATAAATTGCTGATAATTTTACAATTTTGAATATTTTTTTTTGTTATTTATTAATAATATTTTCATGTTTTTAAAATGCTGATATTTATTATTTTTTTATTTACTACTGTAACTGCAACATAACCCAAGTAGGTATTGCTATTAAAACGGATATTTTAATTATTTAAAAAAATTGTCATTTTTAGTGACCAAATGTATAAAATATATTGGGAAAATTTGAGAAAATTGAGTGTACTTTCACAATCACTTACATGAATTATATTTAGAATTTATATGTATGTAGCTAAAATGTAATATTTAAAAAAAATTAATCTTGTCGTGGAAAGGGGTATGGGGGGTAAACCTCCTACAAGCTTATATTAAACAATTTTACATTTGAAAAACAGTTTTTAAATCATTAGATTGTGTTCCTCTACTTTTTTCCTCCAATTCAAGTACTGCAATTTCAAATTTTAACACTATTTAGTATTTTTTTACGTATTGTATTTATTTTGTCTTTTTCAAGTAGGTATAGCCGGTATAGGTATTTCCATTATATACGTCAGATTTTCTACAACAAATTCAAGGGACCACAAGGAAATGTGTTCCTTATTTTTAACGGCAATAAAATATGTTCTCATATTATTCAATAGAACAAATAAAATTTATTTCCGTGAAAACGTATGTAATCAAATGACGACAGCTACATAACATAAAATAACGGATATCATAAAACAGATTCAAACATTGTATTAATATTGTTTTAGAATATATAACTGCTTTTTGACGGAAAATCTCCAAAGTTTATAAAAAAAAATTTAAAAAAATAGTGTTATCGAAACATAAATAACACAAAATTTGTGTATTTTTTTTCTTTCTTTTATTTAAGTACACCGCACAAAGCATATTGATGGTATCTCTTCGAATTTATACTTAATTTTTTTTATTAACCTTTCTCTAGTCAATATTATAGATTATTATTTGTTTAATAAAATTTAACGAGTCTCGTTTATGTGTAGAGTTTAATCATTTTTTGTAATGCTATAATTTCGTTATTATAATAACTTAACAGTATATTAATTGTAATTAAAAATCTCATAAAAATAAATTCTTGTCGACAAAACTGCTAATTTGATTTTATTTTTCATTTAAATATTTGGTTTTCTGAGATAGTGATCAGGTGGCTTTGTTTTGAACGTTTGCGAGTAATATAATATAAAAAAATGCCTTAAATCCAAAAGTATTTTGTAAACATTCGTGATACCTATATGTATGAATATATATAAATTATATGTATACCAAACAAATTTCAAGATATATAGATGTAGATACTCTCTTATACTATCTCTCACTCTAACAGTCTTATCCTTCCAACACTAATCTGAGTTATATTTAAATCACAGAAATTTAAATAGAATGAAAATAAACTGAACAACAATAATAAATAGTTCCTTGTCGATTTAATAACAAATAACAGTCGTAAATACACATCAATATGGTATTATTAAACGCCTTATAAATTATAGTTTAACAATATTATTTTAATAAATACATTGTTATACTGTTTATAATGATATTATATTTAACGTGTGCGCCAGGAGTTGAAGGATAGGAAAGGTAGTGTGTTATTAATTTATTATATGTCACGTACGTTGTTAAAACGCCCTCCGCATAGCAACGATCAATTTACTCTCGCGAAAACGTTAAAAAAAATAACCATATTATACCATAGTTAAAACTTACAATTTGTATAAAGGGTGATAAATTTAAACACAAGACTTATTTTCTCAGACGTTTTTTAATGGTTTTTAATTTTAAAAATAAATAACACATCTGTAGTTAAAATAGGTACGATTGTTATAACTTATAAAACGAAAAAAAAACATGTAATATTTTGAAAAATGGCAGTTCAAATTTGTGTTTAAAAAACATTTATGTCAATTATATAACCCAGTGTAGCTATGACCTATATACCGATACATAGATATGGGTATACGTTGAAAGTATATTACTCATGTATAAATGTATAATATTATAAATTTCTTTAACACACATTTAATATTACCAAAAAGAGATTAGTGCCTTGTATAAAACCACATTATGCATAAAGCTACCTCACAATTATTTTTTAAAGCGAGTAGTAATTTGTTTTATGAGACCACCAATTTCTTAAACGGTACACTAAAATGAATCGTTTAATATCGTTAATATAAAAAGAAACACGCTAACCTAAAAAAACTCTCATGTTCCGAGAGATTTCGTGTAATTTACGTTTAGAGTGATATTTTATCATTAAATGATACACCTATCTGACTACCTATATATAGTACGCATCAGTGTATACAAATTACAAAGTACGTGTATACATTATACATTTTATAATAAGTACTCTCGAAAATGTATTACACTAGTGTATTAAGTGAAAAGATTAATATAACTATCTCATTATAATATTACTCTACGTCAGAATCTTTGCGTGGTAAACAGTGTACAGAGCATAAATCTATAAATATGTAAGTACATATTATATATATAGTATACCTGTATAAATAACGATAATCAATTACATCGCTTAAGATTTAACGATTCTCATAATTTTTTTTTTTTTTTTTTTTTTTATTGAACTTAAGCCCGGCAACTAGGGCCATTAGCTGTTTGTAAGGGTTACGTTGTAGGTTGGTACGGTAGGTTGTATTTTTTATGATTGTTACGGTTGATAGCAAACACGTGTATGTGTGGCAAGGTTTTTAACCACTATGATCCCGAGTGGTCACCCATCCGGGAGCTAGTAGCTGTGGCCGTTACTTACTCTCAGTCGCATTCCGCGACTGGTAGCAGCCAACGCGCCACGCCAAGCCACAGATTCTCATAATTATATAACTGAATAACATATATTATACATGCAGAAAATAACTAGTGCTTGCCTACTGCAATAATACAACGTATATCCTATCACAATACATCTAATATATGAATATATTCCTATCCAATATTATTAATAATAACATGTCGTTGTAACATACGTCACGTACGATGATATAGGTGATATGCGATCATACCAATGATACGGTGGCATATACTTATAACCACTACACTTTCAACGTTTTGAATGTTTTGAATAACAACTGAAAACAAGACACCGTGATAAGTGAATATAATAATACTATATTTACACTATACACGACAAGTTCGCATGATTTAATAATGTTATAGCAAAATCTATAATAATGCTAATAATAATAATAACAGAAAACAGTAAATAAATAAATAAATAGTTAGACTACAACTCATTATGCTGGTTACCGAGCAATCTATTCTAACTAATCACTAGTATATGATATCTTAATAAATTATATGATTATTAAAAAAAATATACAAACGCATACAACTAACAACTATTAAAATACCAAAATGTATTATCCGACCTGAACATGTAACATTATAATATTTATTTAATAACCTGCGAGTTTATACATTCTGAATATATTTTGTATTAATAAATACATTCTATTTGAAAGAACGATCGATCATGTTTACAAAATATAAACGTAATCCGGTGATGTCTAATCGATCAAAAAAAGAGAGAAAAATAAAAAATTTTGATGAATTTGTAATAATATGTACCTATTGTACATACAACAAATAATTTAACTTTAATATTATTCATAAAACAATATTAAAAATTGAAATTATATTTTTATTGTTGATTTACAATTCTAATAGTCAAATTTCGGATGCGTGAACAACTACTATAAGCATTTGAAGGTCCCTCAAATGTGATTCTGTGACTTTTGATTGATTCATTTAATTTCAGGGAACTTTAAATAAATAATTTTATGCACTCAGCACATTAAAAATAATTTCGGAAAATTAGTTTATTAATAATTCAATATTTGATTTTTATACATTAAAATACTATGGAAAAAATTTTGTTCAGAAATATGAAATTTAAAATAAATGTCCTCTTCATTCAATAAAGTTTAAAACTTACAAGATAATTACGATAAAAATTAATAAATATTTCATTTTTTAATGACTTAAAAATAATATAATAACAGGTATGTAAAGAAAACATTAACTATAATAAATATTCTTTGATATAAAAAAAAAAATCATCAATTTATTTTTAGAGAAATATTAAGAATAATTATTCTTTTCAATCATGAATATGAAATTCGATTAATAATATTATACATTTAGATTCTTGATATTGAAAAAAAAGTGAGTTATTATGAAAATAGAGGAAGGAAGATAAAAATTATATTACCGTGTAAATGAGCTTTAGTAGATTACCGAGGAAATGTAAACAAAACGGAACCATTAATAAAATACCATGACCTCCATTTTAAGTGTAATAATTTCACTTTCTGAAAAATATAAAAATTAAATAATATCTCATGTATTATGTGTTCATTGTTTGGGTTTATGTTAAAATTAAAAAGAGTACGGAAATTTGTTTTATTCATAAAATATAATGTTACAAACTTTTGTATAACTCACTTACACAATATTTTATCATGTATTAATCATTGAAAGCTTACCACATATAAGCAATGTTGTATACCTAGGTTTGTTGAAATTTAAATTAATCTGTATAATAAATTATACAATTATTATTTTACATATATATTATATAGAAAAAATAACTTTAAAGATGACTTTTTACCACGTATTTACATCAATCTATCAGAGGCTAGTATAGTGTCATGAATTTAAACGTTGTCATATTATTTAACTACGTTTTAACACTAGATACCGACTGTAATTCAATTTATATAAATGTATTATTTGTTAACCATTATATTAATTGAAATACAATATTTTGATTCTGTACTTTCGAATATTTAACAATAATTATAAAAAATATGATTTAATATTATACAATAATTAAGAAACGAATACATACATATTATAAGTAATATTTTTAATATAGATAATAATAGATATTATGATATATAATATAGGTACTTATTATTATTTTTTATCATAACAAAATATGTAAACACTATTAATTTGTATTCAGAATTTAAGATATTTATTATCAATATTATTTATTTTTAGACTTTGAACATATACGATTATTCTAACAAAACTAAGAATTTCTAACATATTTTGATAATATATTTAAATATAATATGAAAATAACTAATAACTATGTACGCAAATTACTTTTACATTAATGAAGCAAGACTTGTCCGTAATTTCTCCTGTATTCTTGAAACTATTGCGTACCAACCAAAACGAACAGTTTAAGAATAAATTTAAATTATCTCTATGAAATAAGTAATAAACTTTATAAATAAATAATAATAATTAAACTGAATTTTTAATAAATTAAGTTAGACTTAGGTACAATAAAATATTACTGTTAGAAAAATAAAAATAATGCAATCAGAAATATTTCGTAATTCCTTGATACACACATGAATACATGATGACAAATAAAAAATAAGACCATGTAAAATAATAAATAATTGATTATTTCTTTAAAAACCTTATATGCTATTCTTTAACATTATGAATCAATTAAGCTATATTTAATATTTTAAAAAATTGAATAACTACACTTTTTCTATTACTCAATTAAAAAAAGCAAATATTCTTATAAATACTTGATTCTTATTTAAAAAAAAAAAAAAAAGGTAGCAAGTAAAAGTGTAAAACCATTTATTAGGAAGAATGTTGTTACAAAACTGTAAAATAAGAATTTAATTTAAAAGCAGCTTTATTTTTTTTATTTTTTTATATTTTTTTAATAATTTTCTCAATGCAATGTTACTTTGTACGAGTAATATAGTTACCCCGTGAGGGTTGTCTCGGAAATACGCTTCGCCGTTTACTTTTCCATTATGCGTATATTTTATTCCGGCGGCACCTCTTATATCAATTTATATTCACAAAGAAAAAAAAACAAACAGCCAACCAAACTCAAAATATCCGATAAGATCCACGCTCAGAAAATGAATAATTTATTTTAATATAAAAATAATACGCTTTAATTCAAATTATATTTAAATAGGATGTTTATCACCTTTTTTGCGATAATTTTGGTACGTATTATCATTAAATTATTTTTATGTTAAATTTAAGATTAATAAAAAATTGTGTAACGTAACTAACAACCGTACTCAATTTTAATTAAATTGAAAGAACATACTTAGTAGAAACCTAGAAAAGGAGAAAAAAGATACCTACATTAACAGACTGCATTAAAATTTTAAAACGTAGCTGTTTTTACAATACATATTATTATACACAGTATACACTTATCAGAATTATATTAATTGAAACGAAATCGAAATTAAAAGATTAAAATAGGTAATAAATATTATTTAATCCATTGACTATTGAACAACAGTTGTCAATTTCACATGATATCATCGTAAAATTAATTAATTTCAAGATTTACCGCATGCGTTGGTAAAATATACCAACATCAATTATTTAAATATAAACGTAACGCAGTGACTGATCACCAATGTAAGTGATCAGACTGTAATTAATTATATTATATAAGTAACTACATACGTATAGTATAGGTAGTATAATGTATATTATCGTACAGCGTTGAACGAAATCCATTGCTTACATATTATAATATAACGTTATAGTTATAAAACTTTTATGATGGTACATCATAAAGAGGTACATCCTAAAGATCACTTATGCGCTTGCACTGATCATGCTTAACAATTTAAAGTTTAGATAAAGGAGCTTTCTTAATACCCGCCTCTATTGTACTATTTTGTTGTTGAAATCAATACGAAAATAAGTTATAACGTGTCGATGAAATATTGTTCGACTCAACCTCCAGGTAAACAATGGGACTATTTTATTGATGAACAAACACAGTGGATTGTTGTTTTTGACAATATACTTTGATTTATAACCCAATGCAATTAATATTGAAAATTATCCAATTCGAAAACTTTTGCATTACCTACTTAATATTTCCAGTAAAATTAATTTCTTACGATATACACATCTATGTATTCAATTACCTATAAAGTATTATATTATCTTTAAAATACAATTCAATATCTAATGTAAAAATGTAATGAATTATTGGGAAAAAACAAAAATATAAACACCTATACTAAGTGCCTAAAATAACCTTAATAACTTTTCTAATACATAAGTATTAGACTTAATTCAATATTTTTCAATATGTTCTACAAAATAATAACTTAAAGTTATAATATTAAACCTTTTCCTGTTCATATATAATAATAAGTTCATACATTTTGTTTGCATACTCCATATTCAATTAATGTTTTAATAATAATTAGTTGAAGTACACATTTTGAGATAATAATTATTAGTTTGAAAACGTGTCATAAAAAAATACGGATACTTTTAAATAAACCAACTGTTGAACCAATTAGTTGAACACAAAACCAACATGTTTTATTGGTGCTAACTAGCAATAGTTCGTCATTATTCAAAAGCTTAATAATTTAATATACAAATAATAAATTTTTGAATTGAATCAATATTCAATATTTTATAATTTTTAAATGCCACGCCTTTGAAAATATTATTTACCTAGGTTGTCGAAGTTATGAATAATAAAAATGAAGAATACAGTAAAAACTGAAAAATATATCATTTTGAAATGTACTTAAATTTTAACGACTTTAAATACATTCTATAAAAGTTCCAATAACACCTTTTTATATACCTACACATAGTGAATTTTAACCAAGCTCGACCCCCAGATGCTTACATTTTACATTTATTAGATTCTATTTCAGATAATAGATCAATTTCTTATAAAATTACCAACGGTACTTACCTATCTATTTCCCCAAACTTTAATTTAGATGTTAGTTTTTTAATAATACAATAATAAATCTAAAAATGCCAGTAATAAACGTTGAATTATATGAATGTCGTATAAACTTTATCCCTAAAAATAACCTGTAAATAATATAGGGAATATGATAAGCTTCATTACTTCTAATATAAAGCTGTGCAAGTAGAGTAAGACATTGATTAATTTTTAGGTAACATTTTGATACCTACGTTTTAGATGTATAGGTACAGGACGAAAGACTTAACGGTGTAGTGGATACCAGGCTTTATTTTGATGAACCGCACTTTTGTCGTAATCCTCGGTAAATAA